GCGAGCTAAGAAAATGTTTATCTCTCTGAGCCTGGCCTTCATAATTCCATTCCATCACACACTTGGCCATATAGAGACTTGGTGTGTTATAACAACAGCAACAACAACAGCACGGATGAGGGGAATTGAAGCTTATCTTCATTTCCCCATAGGGTGTGAAAAGAAATATAAGCCAAGTTGAAGAAATCACACTTGCACCATGGGATACTAGGAGGAAAGAGGAAGACGACAGCGCCTGTCACCCCCCAAAGTCTCTTCCATTTTAAAATGAGGCCCACATCCTTCTTCACACAGTTATATGCGTGCTGGGCAGACATAAAAGAAAATAAAGACGCTGCCCTGCCACATCGCTCGGGTCTGGAATACGGGGTCAATGCTGGAGTTGAACTGCCCCCACATCTCTAGGGAAAGAGGCAGAAAAGGGGTTCCCCAACATTGCCAGGGTACCTGGAATCCCACCCCATTTCAAACACACCAGTGCCAGGATGGAGAATCCCATGTATGACCGGAGCGGGAAAATTTACAGCATCCACGTGTGATGATTAATGCTGCCCAAATGTGCTTTTTATTTATGATCTCCAAAAGCATGTTTGGATGGCATTTCGTAAATGGCTGGGCGAGGCCACAGGCCACAGGCTTCTTTTGCCAATAAGGCAGCAAGACCTGCTTGTGCAATCAACCACATCAGGACAAAGTCTTCCTTTCACTCAGATTCCCTCATGTTCCCAAGCAAAATACCCCAAACCTGAAATCAACATATCAAAAGCAATTTGCGGGAACTTTGCCGTGTCAGCAGAGTAACTCAGGATTCAGAGCAGAGCGGAAAGACAGAGCGCTGTTCCCACTCTGATTCAAACTTCGGATGCTGATCAGTCTTGTGTTTTTTTAATAAAGCCAAACCAGAGTGACGGCAACGTTTCGTCTTCACTCTCAATTGGCTCTGTGCCTTTACTGCATACAGCAGCAATGGATGATGTGAGGAACTCCAAATGAACAGTGACTTCCAGCATCTCTTATCACTGGCCCTTTTTGCTAAGCTGAAAGGAGGATTTGAGCACACATTGGCCATCATTGGCACAAACAATTTGTGGCATTATCACAAAGCCAAGTGAGAGAGAGGGCAATGTTTCCTAATTTCATATTGGCCACATTCAGTGTAGTTTTAGGGGGAAAATGGTGCTAGGTAATACCATTTCACCCTTCTTAACCAAAGTCCTAAAAGTATCAGTAAATGGAAGATCTTCATTGCGAGGAGGAACTGGAGATAGTTGCTATTTTCACTCCACTCTGATTTCTGTAGCGTATGCAAATGAGTTGCATGTGCTGATTTTAAACTATTTAATGGAACTCTTTTGATCAAGTTGGCAAAATATATACACGAAAAATAGAGTTTCCCCAACCAGTTTCCTGCTTGAAAATCACCCATACTTAAGTAGATGTGTAAGACCTGCCAATAGATTATTATACAGTGGAACCTCGAGTTACGAATTTAATCCGTTCCGTGACTCTGGTTGCAACTCGAATTGGTC